GTGTGGATTAGGTTTATATTACTTTGTGGGGTTCAAATGTTTTTTTTCTGTGAATGCAAACAAAAAAGTAAAAAAGCCAAAAGTCTCATACTTTGGTTACTTATGGGTAAGGTTAGGGCTGAGTAGGGGCTAAGGTCGTCATGTTGTGATTAGAGTTTTCCCCATAGAGATGAATGGAGAGTGTGTGAGCTCAGTACTGCGTGTCCCAGCCTTATGGCCTGTGCTACCTAGAAAACATTTCAGAACCTTGTGAGACACTGTGCTGGAGAAGTGGTTTGAGAATGGATGGATCATTTAGTGTACACTGACAAACTTACTTAGTGTGTGTTTGAGTTGTATTGTTCCCTAATCTATCAGGTGAGACAGAGAGGGGGGTGAAGACCATTTGATTTCAGTCCTTGTAGGGAGTTGAGGTCAAAAACTGTAACTGCTGGTGAACCGAAGTGATGCTGATAATTGATACAGAGCACCAGTGAATGTAGTGTGTGCATGAGAAAACATTACATAGACGTTATGGTTTTGGTTGTATTTGTGGAGGAGAGGCAATGAACTTCTCCTTGTGCTTATCAGTGATTCAGTGAAATACATCCATCTATGACTGCTTATTGAATGCAGGGTCATGGTTAGCTCCTATTCCAGGACATTCAAGACAGCCTAGCAGGAATGGTAGAGTGGTGGCTCTGAGGATGGAGATCTGTGTCAGCAACTGGAAGGTTGCTGGTTCCAATCCCGTGAATACCCGGAGTGATTCTATTCTGTTGGGCCCTTGAGCAAGGCTCTTAACCTGCAATTGCTTTGTCCTGGGTATGACGTTAATCTACTTGCACCCCTATAAGGAGGTCCTTCAACTTCTACGTATTTGTAGACTGGAGGAAGCTCCTACAGATCTTTGTGGAACACACCGCTGGAGAAGTTGAGGTTACAGTGCTGTCCGCCGAGCCGCCACACCACAAACATGCTCTGGAGATACTTGAAGCGTTCCGCAGAGAAGTGTTTTATGTCCCCACTGGTGATTCGTAACAGATTCTGCCAAATGATCGCCCATTAATAAGCTCTACGCGAATGTGGATCCAATTTAACTAATGCGTAACAGACGAGAGACCAAAGCCATTTCAAAGTTCCTGTTAATTCATCAGCCACACATGGCATGAAATGATAGATCAGGCTGCACTAATGACCAGAATCTCCAACAGATGAAACAAGTGATCTTCACTTTGGTGGACTGCACTGCTCTACAAAGTGATCAGCCCAGCTTTGGGAACATTGTAATGCATGTTTGAACCCTGGTGAGAGTCCTTAGCAGTTTGGTGATCTTTTCTTGAGGCAGTTGCAACCCCGTAGAGGTGGCAGTACCAAAACCCACATGCAAATATCGTCGCTGAGACTAAAATTCTTGAAAAAGCAGGAAATCTTGAAGACACACTGGCCCAAACATTCATCAGTCAATGAAATGTGAAAGATAATTACCTAAACACCTCAAAGACAAAGTAAGAAACTATAGTCAAAGACAAAGAAAGAGACTACGGTCAGACACAGTTGTCAAAAGTATATCTTAATATTCATACATATTCTTCAATTTGACTTTACTTCAAGTATTTTCTAGAGATAATGTCTTTTTTTCAAAACAACCAAAAACAAACCTGTTATCAAATGTCGAGCGCTTACTCTATATCATAGCCATCATACAGAGTACTTTAGACTCTTGTATTTAAGCATCCATAATAGGACACAGCTGCGCCAAGCTCTTCCTCTGCTCTTGTGCATAAATCACTCTTTGTCGGGAAAGGCTGCCCACTTGACATATTCGACTTGTGTGAGAAATGTTCTCGGCCGGCTCCCCGGACACCAGCCCTTCCGGATGGGTTATGTATAGGTTATTTGGCAACTTGCCATCCACCCTGAACTGCTTCCTGGAATCAAGGTCCGCTCAGAATTTGTGCAGACGTATGGTGTCGTTGATAGGCAATGGGACTTTCAGCAGATGGTGTTAAATCCTGTGCCCCAGTGGGTGGGTGACGACGGCAGTTGTTTTACTTCTTCATTTAGAACTGATCCTGTTAAACTCGTTTACATATATCTGCATGCAGTTCACTTATTGCACAACAGATGGCACCACTGTACTCGACCTTCATCAAAGGTCATTTTCCATCAATCAGAAATCTGTCTCTGCTGTTAGATATCCAGATAGATGATGCCCTCTCCCGGCCATCTTTGCTGTGAGTAATTCTTGTGAGTGGAGCATAGATCTCTGCGATCCCTGCCAGAATAGCAACAGCTTCATCCAGAAGTGCCCAGTATCAAAATACTGATGGTACAGTTATCAGTCTGCTTGTACAAGCACCTCTACCCCACATACACATCTCATACAGGGGTCACCTACCCCCTCAAATACTATGAAGTGCTGTCGTATATCAAAAAAAGCCGCCTACGTCATTTCCGAGCTCAAACTGAAAGAGAATCTGATGAATGTCTCCTGTCATGACTGTAAAAGCAATGTAGTGCTGTCACGTTTGGAAAATATATAAGCAGAAATTACAGCATGTAAATTCAGGCTGTGGTTTCCATTGACAACCACTGCTATGCTGACTGTTGAAAAGGTGAGCGATCATGGTGTATATTGTACCCTAGATAAAATACACATTGACTGTTTACATTGACATGACTTGTTATTAATTATTCTTTCCTTGTACATTGACATTAAATGCTTGATACCCTCTTGATTAAATGCAGTTGATTATATTTTTCAGGAACGTAATTACATTAGGTAAGCCCCAAAATGATACACTTCTATTGTACTTTATGATGTACTTTAATAGATCCAAGCTTTATTCTGTACAGTAGTGTGGTTTATTATATTCCAGTGGTTTAAAATATTGTAGTGTGATTTACTTGTGCAGTGGCTTATGATTAATAATAATCCAGTAAGAATGATACTGTGTAGAATTGTGGTTTTGGTTGCTTTATGGTCCTATTAAACTCACATTTCTGTGAACAGACATTTTAAAATGTATCTCCTTTGTCAGTGTTTCCTGACCCGGGCCTGTCTGGGGGTCTCCAAGGACTGGGTCGGGAACTGCTGTCCTATGTGAAATGCCCTCTTGTGGCTCGCTCTGTATTAATGCAAGCGGATAAGTGTTATTTTACGATTCCAAAGCCATTACATACAGTTAATGTCCTATAAACCGACTAGCCAAGAAAAGTTGAGACTGGTTAACATTATTATTTTGGCTGAAAATTAAGTGGCTTCGGAAAAAGTTCTTGACAGTAGCATACAATCCTCTGTTTTCCCATTGATAAAGAGCCACACTCATTTCCATTAACGCTCAATCAACCAACGGCTAAGACAAGCCGTGCAGAGTACAGTAAGAGGAGCAGAGAGCTGTCGAAGGCAACGCGTCATCATCGAGGGACTCTCCCCCGCTTTCCAAGTGGTCTGCTGATGGAGGTGGCAATCAAATTGGACAATTTCTGACGAGAATGAGAATAGATGAAAGACCCATATTTAGTCTTGAGTAGTACACATGTCTTTGAACTGCATCCTGGAGAAGAGAAGCCATCTGAGATGGCAGAGGGCTTGGTATCCTCATCTGGCTCCCCAATGGAGAAGCATGCGATCATTAGCAAGAGTGGTATGTATGATAGAGAGTTTTTTATTTTGTCACTGGTTAGCATTAGAGCAACTGTTGAAGTGCAGTCCTGCTTCTTTGAAAGTGTTTTGTAACATTATCTCCATATAAAGTCCACTTTCTGAATTGTGCAATTAATAGTGAAAAGCTATTGATGACACCCAGCAAGACTGCTTTGAAGCGCTTAGTTAGTACTGGAGATTCTGCTGAAGTGGCTCTTGGGAAATTAGTGTTAGAAGAGAGGGGGCTGCACGACCTCTGCCCAGAGTAAGAGACTGTAGTCAGGCCTGGGAAGGGAACCTTGGGTTTGACGGTTTCTGTTGGCGTCCCGCATGGATGCCCCTTCCCATCGGGAATCTGCCCACCGCCCATTTCCCATTCTCCTCCCCGGACCCCTTTCCCAGGCTCCGCCGTCTCCCGTCATCCCTCAGGTTTCATTCTGAGGATGGGCTTCGGCCAGCTCCGTTCGTAGGAGTCAGGCTTTGGCTGATTAAAACCCACCCCCCCCCCCACGCGTGAGCCATGATAAACTTCCTGCCCTGCGGCTGGAAAACAGAGCTGTCTGCGACTGCCAAACCCCCCCCCCGCCTTCCCCCCCCCCCCCCCCTTGTTTGGTTGGTTTCCCCTCGGTTGCCTGGATACGGGGGTTGTGTTTCAGTGGGCCTTTGTTAGTCCGGAGCTGGAAGACGGTGTTACAAAACAAACGATTGCTCATTCACATGTGAACTCCCCAGAATATTTTCTCGGATTAAATGCTACTGTCCAGCAGTGTACTTCTTGTCTTCGATAATTAAAACGGAGAACCTCATAATACGAGGAGGGGAAAAAATTTCGATGAAGCCTGGGGCAATTAAACACTGTAATGAGTTCCAAGCACTTGAGTAAAATTAAAATGCACAACTTCTCATGTCATTCAATTGCTTGTTCGCCTAAATAACATCTAGCCCCAGTCACGGCTGGTCTATTGTTGCAATTAAAAGTGTATTCACTCGACAGTGCATCATTTAAAGAATAAAAAGCATGTTATTTGCTTATGCCCTTTTAGTTATCAGCAAAGGGTGCTCTTGTCTCTCCTCACATCCAGCTGTACTCCTCTGTTGGCAGGTGGTCTGTAATGGCTTCTTTTGTCTTCTGCGTTCATGTTGTTTTAACACTCTGCATCTGCCTCGTCCGCTTATTTTTCTGTGCGCTCACAAATCTCGCTTCTTCGGCGATTTGCTCGGTGATTGCACTGCAGCTTTCCAGTTGTTTCTTTCGTGTGCATGAGAAGCCGGCAGACAAACCGTCCACGTTAGATGAGCAGGTCAATTCGGTCGAGCCCGCATACTGCCGCTCGATGTATCCATGTGCCCAGCGTAGCCCGGAAAATTCCGTTCACTTCGAGGTACATGGGAAACCATGTGGTAGGTAAAGGGTAAAGTGGAGACAATGGGATTTGGCCAAGATGGTGAGAATGTCTGTGACAGATCACATTGCGAGAATTCGTATGAAGCCCAGCCAAAAGCAAGCATCCCTGTCACGCAGGACATGTGATAGTGTCTGAACTCCGTTTCAGCGTTTCTTCGGATACCAACGGAAGAGTGAAGGGAATGTAATTCACTGCAGATTTGCAAACAAGAGAAACATTGATAATGGGCAGAGTAAACAAGGAGCAGATGGAGACTCAGAAAGGAAGAGATCGCTAACACCATAATAGCAGCAGCGCAAATGTAGGACTTTTTAGCAGTGCAAGGAACAAACAGAGATCATTTTGAGGTATTTCATGCTTTCAGCTTCTGGAAAATATTGCTTAAAGGTGACATACATTTGATATTTGATTCTGTTCTTTGAGTTGTTTAAAAGAAATGTTTGTGTGACAGAGAGGAGCTCAGTATACCTTTTTGTGTGACTCTAAATCGAGTTACTGCTTTAAATGTTGCGTATAAAATGTGTTGTTTTTAAGATGACTGAATTTCACTGTAAATTCTCTTCTTCTACTGTAATGTAGAAGTGCATGTCAGTTTCTTAATTTCATAAGGTCATTAACGAGGCTTAAATTGAAAAATGCACAGTGCGAAAAAATCAGTACAAAACCAGTGACCTGTGATGATGATTTTGATTATCATTTAGTTGCACTGCGTGGGTTCAGACAGGTTCTAACATAACGCTGAGTCAGATCAGTGGGATACCATGATCAATACCCTGATTTTTTTTTTCATTGGCACACAGAACTGAGCTAAGACTTAGTGATGAGATAACAGGGATACAAGGCAGTGTGGCATCTCTGGCCTAACCATAATAACCAGAGTCATTGCTTTGATTGGCCGTGAAGCAGTGCTGAACAGTAAGTATAAAATGGGTCTGACTCCACACCTTGAGAATTATGGTTATCCACTGTTGACCTAGAAAATGAAATATTTCTGTAGGGCCGAGGGACGGGGCCAAGTCGAAATCACATGAGCTTTGCAGTCGTACTAAAAATAGCTTGCCAGTAGTCAAAATTAAACATAGGAACCCCACATTATTCTGAACCATATTAATTGTTACCCTCCGCAAACTGAAAGTCTCATGGTAAATATTTTTTTTTTTCTTAGGCAGGACCTGATACCAAAGAAGAAAAAAGTTGTCATGGTGTTAGTTTTTTTCTGTGCTCTCATTAGCTCGGGCTAAATGTCGGGCTGGGGAATGAGTGCAGGGGACCCTCATCTCATTTGCATACAGCAGCGTCCTGACCTTTTTTTTTTTTTTGTTGGCAAATTGCCAACAATTAAGTGCTGAATGTAACAACTACACCTACAAAGGAATCTATTGAGTCTTAGTATAAACCTCCATTACTATTGAATTGGACATATTTGGATTTTTGTCAATCCAGGCAATTTCAATGAGTGTTAAAACATGGACACCATTACTGCCCTATATATATATATATAGTATATTTATATATATATATATAACCTGTCACCAGTTTGTGGTGCATGAAAGCTCCTAAAAGTCACGGGCTCAGTCCTATCTACTGCTCACCCCTTTGCTCTTTGCAATATGCTCTGTCTCTCTCCTCACAGCAGAGCAAATGAAATCCTCCCAGAGACCTCAAGGTTAATAATTTCCTAACTGCTGTTTCTGTGCCAAAGCTCCGATAAGAGGTTCCTCCTGTCCAGCATCTCCATACCATTGATTAAAAGACAGAGGATCTCACAGTCAAAGCCGTGCTCGTCTTCGTTTGTGCATTTTCAGCCCTTTCCCATCAGCCGGCTTTGTCGGCCCATGTCGGCTTTGTTTTGTCACCTTAACCCCCTTTGACACAGAGGACAAGATTCAGGGCCCCTGAATTCTGACCTTGAAGTACCTGTACCATAAGTACCTGTACCATAAGTACCTGTACCATAAGTACAAGTACAAAAGGCAATGTGCAGCTTAGCTCGTTGATGTAACACGGATGTTGTACATTACACATCGAAATGTACATAATACATTCCATTCCATCAGCTGAGGTTGTGTCGTGCACTAAGGATTAACCATTTTTAAGTTTACCCAGTGACAGCCTGAATGATAATTGTATATGGTAGCAATCATTCATTCTTCTGTTCTCTCACTTCCACCCCTCTCAGGAGTAACCGGATTGGTCCGGATAGATGAACACGGGGACCGAGAAATAGACTTCGCTCTCTGGGACATGACCGACACAGAAACTGGCGCTTTCCAGGTACCTGCCAGTCTCCTGACGCGGCGTGACATAATTCCCGCTGCCACACTTCGGTGAACTGTAGCACTCCTGAGCACACATGCACACACAGACACACACATCCCCACAGCTCAGACTCACTTCTGCCCTGCTGGCCGCCTGTTCATTTTGGCCCGGCCTTTTGGTGATAAGATACAGGTATCGACGTCTTGCTTCTCACTCATATGTCAAAGCAACAGAACGACAAGGATGATACGTCACACAAAAAAACTACAGCCATTTTTAGGAATCTATGAACAGACCGTGAGTGGAAGAATACCAATAAAGATGAGCCCCTGTCATCTTAATGATGGACTGTTAATATATTCATTTACACGAGATTAGTGTCATCTAATAACTAAGTGCCAGTATAGTCCAATGCATGAAGAACTTGGGTAGATCCAATCACCCTCAATGCGTTAGCTAACATCTGCTGGTTTATGGACCTTCAAAGATCACATACTTCAATTATCATTCTGCTTCGCCAGATTGTGGCCCTGAGTCCTTTTGACTTCATCTTCAAAACGTTGCGTTCCGCTGATCTTATTGCTTCCTGCACTTTAGCTTAATGTGATTGCTTGCAGTCCAAACCCCCATTTCCCGCTGCCCTATATTCCTCCACACGTCTTAGCGTGCTATTTTGTGTTTATATTCTAATGCTTGCCCGTTTTCTGTCAGATTGTATCTGTCTACAATGGCACCAAGAAACAGATGGTCTCCATACCCGGAATGTCTCTGCAGTGGCCAGGGGGTGTCATTCCCCTTGATGTGCCAATCTGTGGCTTCAAGAATGACAACCCTGCATGTCTTGCAAGTCGGTAGATTTCAGCGGACTACCTCTGTCACTATTGGTTTTGTAATAATACTTTTTTTTTTGCCTTAACACTATTATTATATTACATTAACAATACTCTTCACTTTAATACTATCAACTCTGACATGCTTGAGTATAGAATTTTTTAACTGTCCCTTTATCTCCCAGACAGAACCTTCTTCTTGTGTGTACATTCGAAATGAGTTAACATGCAAGTTAGCTCTTCAGATGTAGCCTATTATGGCACATGTAGTTAATTTCTCAGTGCAATTAAAGTGCTTTTTTTGTCACCCACCAGGAACCATCACAATGCACCAAATGATCATTATAGTGGTGTGCTTTATCATCGTCATCATCATCACCATCACGGTCTTCATTTACAGGTCAGTGCTGAAAGTCCGGCCGCTTCAGCCGGGTGTGCGTTAGTTCTTAGCCAGTTGGGTCTTGGTGGAAATCCAGTCCTCCCTCTTCCTCTTCCTCCCCTTCCCCATTATAAACGCAAACTCCGCCTCCTCTCACCCGCCAGGAAGCTGAAGCTGGAAAATGAACTCGCCGCGCAGCTGTGGAGAATCTTCTGGGAGGACATTCAGATGAGCAACCTGGAGAAGGCGCTACGCAGGGCGGGCAGCAAGCTCACTTTTTCGCTGGTGAGCAAACCTCAAACTCCCAATGCCGACATCCAGGCGCAAGGCAAACCAATGCAGAGCGAGCAGTGAATTCCACTTAATGTGATCCGTGGCCATGAGACAACATGGTTGGAAACTCCACAGGAACCGCTGATCTTAATGGGGCACACCCCCCTTTGCACAGGCATCTTCTACAGAGAAACTGCTACTCAGGTGGGACCCGTTCCTGCATTCGTACTGATATATGTTTGTATTTGCGATTCACAGAGAGGCTCCAACTATGGCTCACTACTGACAGCAGAAGGCAATTTCCAGGTCTTTGCTAAAACCGGCTACTTTAAGGTTGGTGGCAAATGCGATTGACAGAATATCCGTAAAAAAGCGAAGATTGGCAACCAAAGCGAGTGGGTTGTGAGAAAGAAATCTCAGCGCATGCAGGGTGTCGTTTATGAAAATGTCTGTGAATGAATTTGTGTTGCAGGGGAATATTGTGGCCATCAAGTATATAAACAAGAAGCGCATTGAGCTTACCAGAAATGTGCTGTTTGAGCTGAAACACGTAGGTCCCCGTCGCGGCCGTGTCATTATCAGTCTGGGTGTTAGAAGGCAAACACACTTCTTCACGCTCACCTTTACGCATTTGCAGATGAGGGATGTCCAGAATGAGCACCTGACCCGTTTCATTGGCGCGTGCATCGACCCCCCCAACATCTGCATCATCGTCGAGTACTGCCCCCGCGGCAGCCTGCAGGTGCGTCTCATGTGATCCCATCACATGACTGCCACAGTCAATGTCTCAACGCAGACTGTTATCTGTATCTGAAACTTACCTTAGTCATGCAAAATGATTTGTGGGTATGGTTATATATATATTTTCTATATTAACAATTTGAATTATGAGTGCTATCAAGACGACTGCATATTAGCAGTCATAAATATTTTTATTATATTAACACAATAGCGTTATGTTCAGGGCTCGATTCAGATTAAAAATCGCCCTCCTCCACGATAAATTTAGCCAAGCGGGGGTTGGAAGCCCCCCCACGATAAATTTAAGTGACCACCCGCAAACCCGGAAAGCCAGTCTGGCCCTGATTACGTTTTTCTGCAACATTACAATAGATTCTCACTCATTCCTTCCTGAAAAGAGGTGGAACAAGAGATAAAAAAGAGGAATGGGGCCCCTCGTGGTCTCTGCAGGGGACAGAGCTATGCTGGAGACCTCTGTGGTTTGTGGAGTTTAAGATGAAATTCCCTACAAGAACATTTAGCGGTTGGTTTATATATAAAAGACCCACGGGATGCAGCTGGGGGCATGGGAAGAGCCTATTCCCAGGCTGGATGTAGTGGATTTGCACTCCAAACTGTGAAAATATAGGGAGGTTGTGGTCAGTGGTGGGGCTACCCATGTTTGGTATAACCTCCCTAAACAGCCATTCAACTCGTGTCCAGAACAGTGTGTGATCAAGTCTGAACTGACGATATACTCCTATGCAAAGTGCTTAACTATGAGCATACACAAAACATTATCTCTGAGACATCCATCCTTCCATCCATCCATCCATCCCAACCAATTATTCTGCTCAGAATCACAGAGGTCTGTGAAAGATTAACATAAACGTAACACGGTATAATCATAGTAATAAACAATAATGAGAGAGAGGCAAAGTGGGCTTCACTGTGGACCCATGCCTCAACTGTTGGGTGCTTGATCGCCGCTTCTATCTGTGTGCGAACTGTGTTTTTCCCAGGACATCATGGAGAATGAGAGTATCACCCTGGACTGGATGTTTCGATACTCCCTCATCAACGACATCGTCAAGGTGCGTCCATCGCCATGGCGATTTGCATCACCCGGTGCATTATTCCACCGTGACCCAAGTGAAGCAGTAACACTTTTATACAAAATGCTCATGAATAACATCAGCATAGTGTGGTCCTGTTCGCATTAATCACATAGACCTGCTTATGCCAAATAGCTACTCTTCTGGTAGAGTCGGACGAATCTCTGTTGTTTTTGTCTCACTTGCTACCTCTCTCTTTTGCTTCTTCTTCTCTTCTGTCGTTTTTCTTCGTTCACCATCACCTCCATCTCCCCCCCCCCACACACAAACACACACACACACACACACACACAGGGTATGGCATTCCTTCACAACAGCGTGATCATGGCCCATGGCAACCTCAAGTCCTCCAACTGCGTAGTAGACAGTCGCTTCGTGCTGAAAATCACCGATTACGGGCTGGCGAGCTTCCGCAGCGATCCTGACCGAGATGACGCACACGCCTATTACGCTCGTGAGTGACGTCCTTCCAGACCACTGTAACTCATCCATGCAGTACTGGGAAAGCCTGCCCTCCATTCCTGTCGTAGGGACCCATATGAGCTACATGCCTGCTTCAGCTGCTCAAGGGCCAAACTTCTTAATTTACTGAATTATCCACTCAACTGTACTCTAGCAAAAATGTGGGTTTCCTGCAGGGATGCCGTTATAGATTCTGGGTCCCATGAAAATATATCGTATTGGGCTCCCAACCCAGACCAATCCAACTCACTCAGGGGCACCTGGAATCGCCCTAC